ACCTGATCCACAAGGACTGCAGTACACTACACACAGTAGGTTGCAGGACATAGCATATCATCCTCCCCTGGAAATTCTGGTATCTCCTATAGATTACCAGACACACACTAAGATAATTTCTCAGCATCTGGATCACATTTAGGTGGTGTTACTAGTTATAATTATTATCATCACATCATGAAACAAATGAATGGACCAAACAGCACTATATATATATATATATATATATATATTACAGTAATACACAGGTGAAAATTGAATCTATGTAGTGTTAATCCTAATTCCAGTAAAAAATGGTACAATGTTCAGTAAATTTCATGCAGAAAAAAATGGTATTGTATTATCAAAAAGAAATCAATGTATAAATAATAATCAGGAAAAAAATAACTTTGGTTTTTTATGCAAGAACTGTACAGTACAGTATTATAGGAAGTTGCAAAGCATTTATGCAACTTGAACACTTTCAAATTTACTCAATATTATGTAGCAATTAAACTACATTACTAATCCCCTTTGGGAAATTAATGAACTCCAGTAAAGTACCAGTCTTTGGTGCACATTTGTTTTAACTCTTCAAGAAGAGTTCTTTGATGCTGGTGAAGAACTCTTGATCCAAGGAACTGTAACTACCCTTGGTTTCCTTAGATCAAAATTGATTACCTTGTATTTCGTAGGGCAATGTACTAATAATGTTGCAAGTCTTCTCTAAAATAATCAGTTGGTATGTTTGTAGACTATTACAACTCAATTACCAGTTATGAATGTGCTCTTTAACTCTTATCCTGACTTTTAATTATCAAATTTCTTAACTATATTATTAATGTATATGGAACATGATCTTTTGTCAGTACTGTTTCAATTTATATCTGCATCTTTATCCATGTTTCCTTAATGGCTTTTCCAACCTGTCAGTGTTTCACATCTTTATACTGTGCCTTAAGACAAATCCCCCACAACATGACTAAAAAAATGTCAATGATAATTAACATGTATTACTATGAATTCATAAATTTTACTAAACTGTTTATAATTAATGTAACCAGTCATGACTGTTACTGAGACTGAAGATAATGTTAACAATCTGTAAGGAAACCAAAAACTATAGACTGTTGTGGTCTGTCCTAGATCATTAACAACTTAGCCTGATAATGGTCTAACAATGGAAAAAAAAAAAATTGCATAACAAGGGGACTTCCAAACAAAACATAATAAAGATCTGTAATTCTCAAAGCTTTAACAATACTTTGCATTTTTTGAAATAAAATTTGTATTTGTATGGTTCTAAAAAGAAGTGTTTCTTCTTTTTCAGGTCACCCTACCTCGGTGAGAGATGATCGGTGTTTTAAAAATAAATATACAGTGGAAGAGAGCAGAGCAAGCAGCAGAAAAACAGAAACAAAATGTTATACACTACTGAATTAAAATAATAACCTTCAGCTGTTGTAGAAACTAAGCTAAACTAAGAGAGATAAGTAAAACACTTCCAAGAATAGGAAACCTGTGTATTGTAGGCATACACAAATTAAATAAAATGTTTATTATAAAAAATTAGCAAAACTAATGCAAAGTGAAAATAAAAAAAATGATAACATACAATAAAGTAAAACTTTAACTGTGAAGATAGCACCATTTTATTTATGTTAACCAAAATTAATTATTTTACTCAAAAATATTATTTATATAAAACACCATAAAACATTATCTCTGTACTATGAATTTCTAATATTTTATTCACAAAAATGTGCCAAATCAACAATGTGTCACAAAGCACACTATGCCTAAGAAACATGAGAAAGTAAAAAACATAAAGATAGAGGAAGTAAGTAAAACAGAGGGGAGAGAATCACAAGAAGAGAAATAGATTAGAAGGGGAAAAAGGCTGAGGAGGAGAAGTGAAGAGCCAGAGGAGAGGAGAAAGGGAAAAAGGCAGAGAAATGAAGATGCAGAGAATGGAAGTGGCAGATGAGGTGGGGAAGAGAAGAAACAGAGAAAGAGGTTGATAGAAGTAATAGAGGAACAGAAGATAAAGAGATAGAGGAGAGAGAGGAAAGACAATGGAAGAGGGGAAAAGACATAGAACAGAAATGATGATGGAATAAGTGGAGAGAGAGAGTTCTCAATAGAACAGAATCATCAAGACATCCTATTGGGGCAAGTGTTCCACAAGGAAGTGTGCTGGGACCATTGTTATAGAATGTCTACTTCAATGACCTCCTTCATCTCATTCCAGAATCCCATGCATATGCAGACGACTGTACTCTGACATTTACTTATTCAAGAGAAGAAATGCCAACTGCTCTAAGCTACATCAATCACCAGCTAAGAGCTATACCAGCTTGGGGAAACCGATGGCAATAACATTTGCACTTGAGAAAACACCATGATAGTAATGCCAGAGCAGTAGTAAGAATGAATGGGAGAGTGTTGGTACCTGGGGAAGAAGTTGATATCCTTGGGGTGAAATATGACTCCAAACTGACCATGAAGAACCACGTAAATCCTGTAAACGAGGCAGACAGAAAGCGTACAACACTTCGACGTATCTCGCATCTGCATGACAGTAGGGGTTGCAAGACTCTGTATGAGGCACAAGTATGCTCACACCTTGAGTATTCTCCACTTTCTTGGTTTGCCTGCCCCCCTCTAATCTGCGACTGCTTGACAGAGTAGAGAACAGAGCAAGACATCTCATCTCTCACCTGGACCCATCCTGGATAGATCTGTCAATTCACAGAGCCTTCAACACAGGAGGGATGTGGGTGGCCTTACTGTTATGTACAAGGCCAACATCGTCAAAGTACCACACTTGGCTCCACTTTGAGGACAGCAAGAAGCAAGCTTCTATACCACAAGACAGGCAGAAAGCAGCAACTTCACTCTGGCTGTACCCTTCCCCAGAACATCACTTCACCTGAGATCATTTATCCCTAGGCTGACTCGAGTCTGGAACATATTTGTACAGCATTATGATGTCAACGAGATAAAGTCAGTTGATCAAATGAAAATGCTGGCCCACAGATGGCTCCAACTTCATCCTGTTCCCTACTTGTATGTTTCATAACAATAAAAATGCTTTCAAATGAGCTGATGTAGGTAACAGCTCTTAGCTTGTCAATAAAGTTAGGAATCCTTAACTTGTAAATACTTTGTCAATAAAGCTAAGGATCCTTAATCTAACCTTGTCAAACCCTGTGTAAAAAAAAAAGAGGGGGAAGAGAGAGAGGGAGGGGGTATAGTGAGAGAGGGAGGGTGAGAAAGAAGGGAGGAGGGAGAGAGGAAGGTGGAAAGGGTGGGGGAGTGAGGGGGGAGAGAGGAGGGGGAAGAGTGAAGGGGGAAGAGGGTGAGGGGAGGGAGGAGAGAGGGGGAGGGGGTAGAAAGAGTGAGGGAGGGGAAGAGAGGAGGGAAGAAGAGGAGAGAGAGGGAAGAGGAGACAGAGTGAGAGAGAGAAAGAGAGAGAATGAATTTTAAATGAGCTGATGTATTTACATTTACAGCCTCTCCTCGCTTAACGGCAGAGTTCCATTCCTGAGACCACATCACTAAACGAATTCGTTGCTAAGTGAGAAGCATACTACAATGGTAGTGGATTTGTGTCAACCATCTTTGATGTTATTTTAATGTCACCTTTGCACCATTTATAACATTTCTGGTATATTTTTAAATGTTTATACAGTAGTGTACAGTATATGAAATGAATAGAATAGAGGAAATCAGCTCTAATATACATTATTTAGGTACGAATACTGTTCAGAGCCCCCGTCATAAGTCCAAGGCGTCGGTAAACGAGTATATGTCGCTAAGTGAGGAGGCTGTATTTTTATTAACACATTGGTCGTTTCCCACAAAGGCAAGGTGGTCTGAAAAAGAATAACTTTCATCATTAACTCCATCACTGTCCTGCCAGAGGCATGCTTACACTACAGTTATAAAACTGCAACACTAACGCCCCTCCTTCATAGTGCCGGCACTGTACCTCCCATCTCCAGGAACCAAGCCCAGCCTGCCAGTTTCCCTGAAACCCTTCGTAAATGTTACGTTGCTTACACTCCAACAGCATGTCAAGTCCTAAAAACCATTTGTCTCCATTTGCTCTTATCTAACATGCTCACAAACGCTTTCTGGAAGTCCAAGCCCCTCACACACAAAACCTCCTTTACCCCCTCCCTCCAACCTTTCCTAGGCAGACCCCTACCCCACCTTCCCTCCACTACAGATTTATACAATCTCAAAGTCATTCTACTTCGTTCCATCCTCTCTACACGTCCAAACAGTAGAGGTAACAGCTTTTAGCTTGTAAATAAAGTTAGGAATCCTTAGCCTGGTGGCTACAGCTCTCACTTCACATGGCCTGGTTCGATTCCCATCGAGGGTAGAAACATTGGGCACGTTTCTCTACAATGGGTGTCTATGTTCCCCATCAGTAAAATGGGTACCTGGGAGTTAGTCTACTAGTGTGGGTGCATCCTGGGAAAAAACTGACCAAAATTTGCCAAAACTCTGCATCAAGTGGCTTCTAATAGTAGTTTCATGATGTCAGCTGCCGTAACCGTACATTACTTGAAGAGCAGAAGAGTGAGAGAGAGAAAAGAGAGAATTAGAGAGAGAGAGGAGAAAGTATAGAAAAGGCGATAGAAGAGTAAAACAGAGAGGTAAGAGCTTTAGCTGAAATAAAAGAGAGGAATCAGCCGGAGGAGAAGACAGCCAATGGAGAGGGTGATTCATCGAGGGGGAGAAAGATTGGGCAGAGATACAAGGGGTAGCATCAGGAAAAAGGGAGGGAGGAGGACTGGGTGGGGAGATCGGGGAGAAAAAGGAGATAGAAAATGATCGAAAAGAAGGGATATATAGAGTAGGAGATGTAGAGGCCTGAAACGACATGTAATTGGAGAAGAGGAGAGAGGAGAGAGAAAGAAGAGAGAAAAGAGAGAGGGAGAGAGAGAGGGGAGAAGAGAGAGGGAGGAGAAGAGAGGAGAGAGAGAGGGGGAGAGAGAGAGGAGAGAGGAGAGAGAGAGAGAGGAGAGAGAGAGAGGAGAGAGAGAGAGGAGAGAGAGAGGGGAGAGATCCACTTCGAGGACAGCGTGAAACAAGCTTTTATGCCACAAGACGGGCAGAAAGCAGCAACTTCACTCTGGCTGTACCCTTCTCCAGAACTTCACTCCATCTGAGATCCTATATACCCAGGATGACTCGAGTATGGAACACATTCGTACAGCATAATGATGTCAACGAGATAAAGTCAGTTGATCAAATGAAAATGCTGGCCCACAGATGGCTCCAACTTCATCATGTTCCCTACTTGTATGTTTCATAACAATAAAAATGCTTTCAAATGAGCTGATGTAGGTAACAGCTCTTAGCTTGCCAATAAAGTTAGGAATCCTTAACCTGTAAATAGCTTGTCAATAAAGCTAGGGATCCTTAACCTTGTCAAACCCTGTGTAAAAAAAAAAAAAAAAAAAAAAAAGAGAGAGAGAGGAGGGATCATGATACACTATAGTTGGAGTTAGGAAAAGAGAATAGAGGAAAAGGAAGGAAAAGATAAATAAGAAAAAAGGGGAGCAGGAGTGAAGAAAAGGAGAAGATAAGTTTTGAAAGAGCAAGATGGAAGAAATGGAGGGAAGAGAAAAAGTAGAGAACAAAACGGAGGATAAGGGAAAAGAGATAAGAGATGGGGGAACATAGCGAAGGGAAACATGGATGGAGAAGCATTAGAGGGAGAGGAGGAGAAAAAAGATGTACGGGCAAAGATACAGATAGAAGAGTATGAAAGAGGCAGAATATACAGTCAATCAGACATAATGCGTGGGTTAGAACATTTTATTTATGAAAAGATTTCATCCACCAGGGATTGTATCATCCATAGTGGGCAAAACATCTCAATAAAATACCATAACTGCATATTGTGTCTTACTTGCAGAGACAGCTCTAGGGAAGATACAGGAAAGGGTAATAGAAGAATAGACAGGAGGCAAATTCTTATTATAACATTATTGCGGTACTGTATATGTATTCAAAACGAAACACTGAGCCTGAATGGGTCATGAGGAGATGGAAGAGAAAGAGAAGGAATGGCAAAGCAAGAAATAGGAGAAGGAAACAGACAGGAAAAGGGAAGAGAGTGGAGGAAAAAAGAGATGGAAGGAGAAAGGGTGAGTGACAATAAATTTTCTCCTTTAGCCTGACTGACTGCAAAAGTGGCATGTCTATTTCATGATTAGAATACGAATGATCTGAATCAACATAGGTTTAGTGTTTCACAAAATATAAAATAATAATGAAAATTGAGTGAAAAACAATTCCAATACAAACTTGTTTTGTATATTGTATCTTTATACCACAAGAAAGAGAAGCTAGAAGAGTAAAGTTAAATTGAAGAGAAGAAAGAAAGTGACAGGAGGAGGAAGTAAGAGACTGAAGTGGAAGATTACAATGGAAGAAATGAAAGATGTGGAAGAGTAAAATGGTTAAAAAAAAAAACTGCATGGTGAGGTAAAAGTATAAAAAATATAAATAATTCCTTATAATGCACACTATGGCCTCTTCTCCTTACTAACCTGGTAAATCTACTCAATCCTTTATCAATCTAGGGGCTACACACAAACTTCCAATGTACATCACCTGACTCCAATTATAGAGCCAGAACCTAGGTGCTACTCATGAACTTCCAATATACTGAATCTGACTAGAGTGATACACAGAGAACCAGAGCTTATGAACTTCTGGCATGAAGTACCTGCACAAAAGCCAGGAACAAAAAAGTAACAAAGTGAAAGAGTGATAGGACAAAGAAGGGACAGGTGAAAAAGGAAACAAAACTGAAGGACAGATGTCATATGTCCCATCAAAATTTTTTCATTATTTTTTTAAGTACCATAATAGTTAATCTCAACATTTCCTTCACATGCACAACTTAAAAACATTCATTAGGACAGAGAAGGTAACGAATATGTGCATTCGCCTCCACACACACACACATACTGTGGAATATTTCTAAATTAGATGGACCTAGGGTAAATAAACAAAAGTGAATAATGACAAATACACATTACCTGTATGTATACTGAAAGGTTCTAACTGTGCTGTGTTGAAAGCACTTGTTTGTAATGATCATTCCATGAAAATATTCCAGTTATTTTGTATCTGCTCATAATATTGTACATAATATGGGCTGTTCAAATATCACAACTAAGCTGTAAATATAGATCTGGATCTGGATCTGGATAGATCTGGAGATCTGGATCTGGATTTTTAAAATACATTATTTGTTTCTAATAAGTTGTTATAATATTTTCATGTAGTGAATACAAATTAAAATATTTATATTTTACTCCATAGGAAAGTTATGAAGGCATATCAGTTCTCTGTATAACGAGGATCTTCAAGCAATAAACTTTCTATTCCATTCACAGGATCCAAAGGAATGTCAGCAGCATTTTTTTCACTCTTACATCCTATTAATGGTCTACCATGAAACAATGGGATATCAAGTTCACTCTTTTTGGCATCACTGATTAAATGGCTCTCTTGTACTGAATATGGGAGGCTCAAATCCGAATCACCATTCACTGTTAGTTCATGATTTTTATCCCTCAAATGTTCCGGAGACCTGGAAGAATGAAAAAAATATGCATGCCCTTTCTCTTTTCCTGAATGCTCTCTTTGCACATTTTTTCTCTTGGTTTCAGACAAGACACCACTGCAGTATCTTCTTTTAGGTAAATCAGATATATGAGACAACCTCCATTTAGAATCAAAAGACATTTTTCTTTCTCTTGACCTTGATTCTGATTTTTCAATTAGTGTTTGTGTTTCTTTATCACAGATGTTTTTCACTGTTTCAAGATTCTCGGTTTGAGATTCTTCATCATGTGTGGATTTTATAGATTGTTTAATGCTACAAAATGATTCCTCAGTCTGAATACTTTGAGAAATTTGTCTAAATTTCTTCACCTGCACCCACTTGTTAACAGCTCTACCCATGATCTTTGGGGTTGTCTGTATACCAAAGTCCTTGCCCATACTAGGGATTGTCTGTACACTAGAGTCCTTGGTCATGCTGGAGACTGTTTGTACACCAATGTCTTTTCCAATGTTCATTGGGGTTCTCTGTACATCAATATCACTGCCTACACACAATTGTCTGTCTGACATCTGATCACTAGAGATATCTAAATTATCCTTTTGTCTTTTTCTATATTTGGAGTTCTTTTTCATTTCTTTGTGATCTATATATTCACCAACCAACATTTTCCCTTCTGATGCATGCTCTTTGATAGAGCTAGTCTCAGGAGAATTTTCTTTCAAACCATTAGTAGAATTTGAGTTCTTTTTTGGGCCTTCTCTATTATCTGTTCTTTGCAACATGATAAGTGTTTGTGCATCTAACTTTGGAACAGGATGGCCATGTAGAATTTCCAGTGCTGCTAGAAGAAGCCACTGAGCCCAAGGGCAAGCCTGACAATAGACTTGGCGAAGCAGTATACTTGTCATCAACTGAAACAAAAATTCATCATTATTATATTCATCAACTGTTAAACCTCAGGGTCATTCAAAGCAATATGGAAAAAGTGAATAAGATGGAGGAGGTGAAGGTGTTTGAGGGAAAGACATCAGCAGAAGGGATAGGGTCACAAATAATGTAATAAAATGATATCCATTAAAAATCAGTGATTGCCAAAAATGCACAAATTGCTCACAGGAGTCAAGAAATGCAGAAAGAACTAAAAGCCATAAAGGAAATTGAAAGAAACCCCAAATATTTCTTTTCTTAGGCCAAATAAAAGTCAAGAACAACATCCAGTATTGGGCCCCTACTTAGATGAGATGGGTCCTACACAGATGACAGCAAGGAAATGAGTGAGCTACTCAAGTCCCAATATGACTCGGTTTTTAGCGAGCCACTAATCAGACTGAGAGTCAAAGACTAAAATTAATTTTTATGGCGAGACACAGAATTTGGTAGACTCAAACCTATCTGATATTATCCTGATGCCAAATGACTTCGAAAAGGTGATAAATGACATGCCCATGGACTCTCCCCCAGGCCCAGACTCATGAAACTATGTGCTCATCAAGAACTGCAAGAAGCCCTTATCATGTACTTTGAACATCCTATGGAGAGGGAGCATGAACACGGGTCATCCCACAGCTGCTAAAAACAACAGACATAGCCCCATTCCACAAAGGGGGCAATAAAGCAATTGCAAAGAACCACAGACCGATAGCTCTAACATCCCATATCATAAAAATCTTTCAAAGGGTTCTAAAAAGCAAGATTGCCACTCATCTAGATACCCATCAGTTACACAACCCAGGGCAACATGGGTATAGAGCAGGTCACTCCTGCCTGTCCCAACTACTGGACCACTATGACAAGGTCCTGGATGCTCTAGAAGACAAACAAAATGCAGATGTGGTACACAGACTTTGCAAAGGCCTTTAACAAGTGTGACCATGATGTAAAATCCCACAAAATGCATTATAAGGAATAACAGAAAAATTGGCAGATGGATTTATAATTTCCTAACAGAACCAAAGAGTAGTAGTAATCAGAGTAAAGTCTGAGGTGGCTACGGTGAAAAGCTGTTCCACAAGGCACAGTACTCACTCCCATCCTGTTCCTCATCCTCATATCTGACATAGACTGGGATGTAAGCCACTGCACTGTGTCTTCCTTTGCAGATGACACCTGAATTTGCATGACAGCGTCTTCCATTGAAGACACTGCAAGACTCCAGACGGACATCAACCAAATCTTTAAATGGGCTGCAGAAAACAATATGAAGTTCAACAATGAGAAATTTTGATTACTCTGATATGGAAAACATGAGGAGAATAAAAAAGTACTGGAGTATAAAACAAAATCCAACTACACAATAGAACGAAAACTAATGTAAAAGACCTGGGAGCGATAATGTCAGAGGACCTCGTCTTCAAAGACCACAACATTGTATCAATTGCATCTGCTAGAAAAATGACAGGATGGATAACGAGAACCTTCAAAACTAGGGATGCCAAGCCCATGATGACACTATTCAGGTAGCTTGTTCTATCTAGGCTCAAACATTATTGCACACTAACAGCACCTTTCAAGGCAGGTGAAATTGCTAACCTAGAAAATGTACAGAGAACCTTCATGGCACACGTAACTGTGATAAAAGACCTCAATTACTGGGAATGCTTAAAGTTCCTCAACCTGTACTCCCTAGAACACAGGTGGGAGAGATACATGATTATATACACTTGGAAAATCCTAGAGGGATTAGTTCAAACCTCCACATGAAAATCACTCCCTATGAAAGCAAAAGACTCAGCAGACGATGCAACATCCCCCCAGAGAAAAGCGGAGGCACCACTAGCACGATAAGAGACAACACAGTAAGTGTCAGGGCCCCAAGACTGTTCAACTGCCTCCCAGCATACATAAGGGGGATTACAATATACCCCTGGCTGTCTTCAAGAAGGCACTGAATAGGCACCTATAGTCAGTACCTGACCAGCCGAGCTGTGGTTCGTACGTTGGTTTGCATGCAGTCAACAGTAATAGCCTGGTTGATCAGGCTCTGATCCACCATGAGGCCTGGTCACAGACGGACCACAGGGGCGTTGACCCTTGAAACCCTCTCCAGGGTATCCAGAAATGGATAATGTGCAGAGAACTTTCATAGCCCTTATCAATTCAAATGCCTGAAATTATGGTAACACCGAAATCTCATAATTAGTAAGCCTTAAAGTTCAGGTGAGAAAATATGCATATTAGAATTTAAACCTATAAAATAGTATGCAAACAGGTTCCAAATCAGAACACTGAACTTTACTCCCTATGAATGTGGGAGGCATGGTAAATGATGCATAATACCCCCAATGAAAATTAGAGCTTTACATGAAATTACAAATAAGCTCTATTATTCAAGTGTTTGATTAAAATATGGATGAAGCTAGAGTAACGGCCAGGAGGTGCCTGTGCTGCAAAGGTACCTATCCAATGCCTCTTCCACACTTATTTAATCAAGGGGAAGCAGTAAACACATAGTCTGTTTATATAGTGCCTGGGAAATAAGAAGCATTCAGGTTCAATTTAGGGAAGGAGAGAATAAGTCCCTTGTATCAAGAGCCCCTCACCAACATTAATGCACTTGTTGTGGGGTACCTACTCAATGCCTCTGCCACATACTATGTACCTTCTCAATGTTTCTGCCACAAACTTTGGTACCTACCCAATGCCACAACTAAACACTCATAACACTGCAGAAAAGCTGTTCTTACTGTAGCTAGGGTGTCTGCGGTCAAGCCATGAGGCAGTACCAGTTCTGGTACCAAGACTTCTTCTATCTCCTGGCCCCCGTCTGCCATTTCCTCTGAAACACAATACAGCAATCAAAAACGTGAAAATAACAACACACATCCCTTTCAACAACCCATAATATCCACTTATTTAGTTTACTACCGAAAAAACACCAATACTTACAAAAAGCAGACTTTCCTCCCCACATATACATCAATTTATCAACAGAAAACATGATGCTGATTCAGCCTGTAAACATATTCCGTTTGTAACATTATAAATTTAACACCACCATTATCAATCTGCCACTTTCGTGATCAGTTCACTCTAAGAAGTTGTCCCTCAAGGAAGGTTCCTTGATGTTGGTGAGGGGCTCTTGATTTAGGGAATTGGATCTGCTCCAGTTCCCCGAATTAAGCCTGAATGCCTTCCACATCCCCCCCCCAGGCGCTGTATAATCCTCCGGGTTTAGCGCTTCCCCCTTGATTATAATAATAATAATATAATCTAAGAAGTTGCAGAGGTTAGTGGACGAACTGGAGAGGGAATATAAAAGGAAGTTAAAAGTGATCATGGGAAAGAGTAAGGCGATGAGGGTAACAAAAAAGAAAATAAGAAATGAAAGCTTGGGGAAAAGGAGGAAGTGAATGTGTTCAGATATTTGGGAGTGGACTTGTCAGCAGGTGGGTATAGCTATGGAAGATCAGGTGACCTATATAACTGACGATCCACAAAGATGAGTGGTGCACTGGGGAGTCTGTGGCGACAAAGAACGTTATCCATGGAAGCAATGAAGGGAATGTATGAGAGTATAGTGGTATCAACACTTATGTGGTTGTGAAGCATGGAGGTAGTGATTAGTATCTGAGGGCAATGTGGGGTGTGATTATGCAGGGAATCTGTAGCTTGGAGATTAGGAGGTGCAGAGTTACTAAAAGTATTATCCAGAGGGCTGTTGAGGTGATTCGGACATTTAGAGAGGATAGAACAAAACAGAATGACTTTGAGAACGTATAAATCTGAAGTGGAAGGTAGGTGGGGTGGGTCCATCCTAAGAAAATGAGAGGGGTAAAATTGATGAGAACTACTTCAAAGTGAGGGTTAGGCAAGTGGATGACATCTTTTATCACATTGTTCTATTAGTGTGAAAAGCTACATTTAACAGATCGAACCGTTTCCAACGAGCAGGTGAATAATGCCGACCTAGAAAATGTAAGAGAACTTATTCAGGGCGAATAAATGCTGGAGTTATAAAACCACCTCAATTACTGGTAAGCAAGGCAATGACGTTCCTAACAAGCGAAGGTGGCCCTTGGAAGCGCATGAGGGAAGTACATTGAAATAATGACACCTTGGAAGGACCCTGAAAAGGGACTTGAGTACCAACTTGCGAAAGAACATTTCCTACACAGAGACCAAAGCAAAACACTTGGCAGACGATTGACATCCCACCTAATGAAAATCAGTGGTGTCTATATAAATTTAATAGACCGAATAACAAATAAAGTGAATACTGCCCTAAGCTGTTCAAACTGGGACTCCCCACAAATAAGTTAAATTACCAAAAACTTATCTACAGTACTGTACAAGGCTATACACCTAGGACAAATGCAACTCTAAAGAAGTCGCTTTATCAGCCGGCATGGGCTTGTACGTTGGTTTGCCGGTGCAGCCAGGCAGGGCCCCTACAGCCAATCGGTGTGATAGGCGCCATGTCTCACCAGCGCCGGAAACAAACCGGGTCGCGTGGGGCTTTGACACCCCGGGGAAACTTTACAAGTGTAAATTACCAGGATAATCAAAAGATGAGAGAAGGGCTATTTATTGGGTCTGATACTAGTAAAGTAGGAACTTTGGAAATTCTAGACGTTAGGGACAAGTGGCAGGCAAACATTATATTAAATTTATGACGTGTGCATATTATGATTCAATCAAGAGTACAATTAGTACAGAGGATCATACACTGCGGGAGAACGGTAGGCCAACTGAGTCTGCAGTGAGGAAGTACAGTCCCTGCACATATGTGTCATCCAAGTATCAGATAAATTTTCGACGATAACCGGAAGTAACCTTATAATGGATGCCGAAGAAAATGCTGGGTTTTTATCATTGGCAAGCACCCATTGGTATCGGGAAGTACCTACAGCAAGAGCGAAGAGTGGCACCGTACCTACAGCAAGAGCGAAGAGTGGCACCCTGTGGGAAGGGCGGCACCTTGTGGGAAGTGACACCCTGTGGGAAGAATGACACCCTGTGGGAAGGGTGGCACCCTGTGGGAAGAGTGGCACCCTTTGGGAAAGTGACACACCTGTGGGGAAAGTGACACCCATTCCTGACAAGAGATCCCAAACCACGCAGACCTCACCACTAGGGTTCAGTCATAATTGATCACAACCTTATGGTTGTAATAATCAAGTGCTTAGTCTATTATATAAATTTAATAGACCTGTATATTTAACCTAAATAAAGCTGAATACTGCCTTCTAAGCATGTTCAAACTTTATTTAGGTACTCGTACACATAAATACAGTTAAATACATTATCATACATAATATATCTTTATTTCTACAAATACATGTACAAGGTATACAGGCCTAGCTGACATTAATGACATACTACTATACAGAAAGTCGCTTGTTATAGAGAGCATTTAGGGCAAATTAGGTCAGTTTTGTCCCAGGATGCGACACGCACCAGTCGATTAGCTCCCGGGTACCCATTTTACTGATGGGGGGACACACAATCGGTGTAAAGAAACGCGCCCAATGTTTCTACCCTCGCCGGAAATCAAACCTGGATCTTCGTCGCGTGAAGCGAGAGCTTTAGCCACCAGACCACGGGGAACATATTAACATATGTGTAAATTACCAAGGATAATCCAAAAAAGTTAGAGAAGTGACTTATTTCCATTGGGGTCCTTGATACTAGATTAATTATGAACATTTTGAAGAAGATTCAAAATAAGATCTTAGTGGAAATCAATCCTATTTGGCTTTTATGGGTTAAATTCTAGGTTAGATCATTAAAGTTTATAACTGTTGTATGCATATAATATTATTACAATCATGATGGAGTACTAATTAGTACCAGTAGGGATCATACACTGCCTGGAGAACGGGAGGCAATAAGTTCAGATCCGAGGAATCAACAGTCCCTCACGAGAATCAAGGGTGTAGTCCAATGATAAGATAAGATTTCGTTCGGATTTTTTAACCCCGGAGGGTTAGCCACCCAGGATAGCCCAAGAAAGTCAGTGCGTCATCGAGGACTGTCTAACTTATTTCCATTGGGGTCCTCAATCTTGTCCCCCAGGATGCGACCCACACCAGTCGACTAACACCCAGGTACCTGTTTGCTGCTAGGTGAACAGGACAACAGGTGTAAGGAAACGCGTCGAAATGTTTCCACCCGTCGGGAATCGAACCCGGGTGTGTGAAGCGGGAGCTTTAGCCACCAGGCCACCGGGCCTGTGTATAATGAAATACGTATGTTTATTTAGGTATAGCTACACTTAAGTAGTTTCACAAATTCAGGTGACTATAATATCATAAACAGTAACATACGTGTAAATTACCTAGGATAACCACAAAAAGTCAGAAAACGTGACATTTCCATTGGGTCCTTGATTTCAACTAAGTTACTGGGAAATCAAGTATAACAACAAATATAAAACAACTGTACACACAAATCAGCCAACAATACATTTTTAGTCCAGTCAGAGTGCAAACGTAAGACATACATGCATAAATGATAAAATAAATCTTAAGAAACAATGAGTGACACAACACACCAGCCTCGTCCAAGGTACCAGGAAAACACTACATGGGCCTAGTGTCAACAAACGAGGGGCATATGGACTTCCCAGTCCTCAGATAAACCTCACATGATGACGCTTTTGGAAGACCGACATATAATAATAAAATGCTTCTAAATTGCATACACATTGAAGGGGAAACAAAATGGTTATCAAGGTTATAGTATTATATACTTTGAATTATTGCTTCGTAAGCAGGCAGGGGGCTGTTACCATGACGACAGAATGGAGGTTGGGAGGAGAGACAGAGGGAGGGAAGTAAGGATAGAGGGAGGGTAGCAGGGATAGAGGGAGGAAGGACGGAAGGGAGGGATGCCATGGCGGGAGAAAGGGAAGTTTATTTAGATCAACCCTCACCCACCCACCCCCACACTCACTCAATTATACAAATATAAATGCTAATTTCATTTCCGAAATACAAGGAGTTACATTTTCGGGAATTACATCTGGTATCAATATTGTATAATGTTTTAGAAAGCCTCTCGTTATTCAAAGTATATCGAACAAACTAAAACCAGAACATACAGTTTATGTATTTAAGTTAAAAACAGTAGACATAATTAGTGCTGAAATAGCAATTTACCAGGCTAGACCTACCCGGAGTTCATTACCTTTGTAATTTGTGAGTTCATTACCTTTGTAAATTGTGAATTCATTACCTCTGTAACTTGCTCAGCTATCAAAACTTTGGAGTCCAGTCCCTGGACCAATTATGTACCTCTGTAATCTTTTGACTACCGCCCACAGGATGGGTATGGGGTGCATAATAAACATTAAACTAACTAACTACCAGGCTAGTGGTAAAATATATATTAAACTTGATAAATATTTATGATCATTACATACAGAATATTTTATATAAAATAAAATGACAGAAAGGGAGGAGAATCATTTTTTATTTTTTTAGCTAACGCACATGTAAATGTAAATAACTCTTTTTACCTTATTCCTAGTATATATCCTTTATAGTATAATAATAAAATATTATTTCCTACATTGTATAATAATGTATTAAAAGGACCCCAATGGAAATAAGTCACTCTGACTTTTTCGTGGTTATCCCAGGTTCTCTACACATGCTGCTATGCATGATAATCTATGTAACTATTTGTGTATACCTGAATAAACTTACTTAACCATATATAACATTAAACAAGAGATGTTTCTGAAGCTAAAAACAAACAAACTTTATTTCTATAAAGTGGAGCACAGCATATTATACAATTAAGGCGACTGACATATGTATATAACTTTCTACA